TGCCTTGTCTACCTCTAACTTGTGTTTGCTTTACAGAGGAGTGTTGTCACTTCCATAGAGTATAGGTAGGTATATAATTCTGGCCGGCTAAGTCTTAGCCTTGATTAGCAAGGGACAGGAACTCTCTATTTTTACTTACCGAGTGTGTAGAAGTTTAGAATCGCTGAGTAGATGAGAACAAAATTAGGGACAACAATATGGTAGGTTTACTTAAAGGCTATATTTATTATATTTTAAAAACTTCTCGTAAAAATAGTCTTATAGTAAATTTATCTATTGCGGTATTTCTGTCTCATTAGGTAGACTCATATTTAGGAAAGAGGGGGCAAACGAGCAGACGGGTCACCTGATGGAAAGTGACTACCGCCCCCCATGAAGCGCTTTGCCGGTCGATTTTTTAGCAACCTTAAAATAAAAAAGAAACATGCATGTCAGTGTATGTGTGTGTGCTTGTATGGTAATGCCGTGAGAATATACGCTGTTCATGACATATTTACATATTGATGTTGTATCGGTACTTTTGCCACACAATATTAGTATTATTGTACCATAATACTGTTTATATTTATACTTATATGTATGTGTTCAGAACTGCTCTACATCCTATTGTTAAAAGTGCATACGCAACCCTGTAGATACCTTGTACATTTTTTATTAAAATTATTCTATTGTTAAACGCAATAGACTCAGGCTCAGGCTGTGAGAAGTACGCTACTCAGATCGATTTTTGGCTTATCCCAGCCCGTGGCAATAGGAGAGGCCTTTTTTTTTCCGTGCGGAAATCCCCTCGGATACCACCGGTCGGTGGCATGTCGGACCCGAACCGACTAAAACCGCACGCCGTCTCGGATACTAATAGCCGGGGAACCAGGTATACCCTAGGCCTATGTCCAGCAGTGGACTGCGGTAGGCTGATGATAATGAAACGGGCTGAATAAAATTAATTATTTTACCAAAAGATTTTTTACCGATGGAGAGTCATGCTTGTACGCAGATCTCCACAAAATAGATGTAAACAATTTCACCGAGTGAATGAGGTTACCGAAGCTCGGAAACCCTCTCCCTCTTATTCTTTCGGACCTAAAGTGCGGGAACGCACTTGTGTCTTAGTAACAGAGGGCCAAGTGCGAGTTCATTTCACTTCTACTCTATCGTCACGGTGACCGCGTTCGTCGCTACGATTGGCCCGCACTGAAATCTCCACCAATCGCAACGCTAAACGCGCTCACCGTCGAGAGAGAGTCGATGTTAAATAAACTTACACTCGGCCCTTTGGTGCCCAAAGGCGGCGGTAACCTTACGATCTGAGGGCCTAGTGTAAGTTTATTTCACTTCCATTCGATTCACGGGGACCGCGTGCGGCGTTGTGATTGGCCCAAACTAACTCTTAACCAACGCTCGTTGTTTCATTATACAAAGTTGTATGTGAAAAAACTTTATTGCAAAAATATTGGGGTCGTTGCACTCTGAAGAACATTTTAGTTTAAACGACGGGGTCTGTAATAGATATTATTTATAATATATATTTAAATATTTATGAAATTGCATTTAGTAGGTCATTCAACATTGAACTAGCCTCACTTTTTCCTCGTAAGACATTCGCAAAATTTTGCTGTTTTGCTTTGAAAATATGTTGTAACTGACATTTAAATAACAGATTTTTATGATTAAGATGGGTATGTTGTGTGACTAGGGTGGACAAGGTGTGGAATACGTTTGAGGAAGCCTGAAAGGAGCGCCAGTTGATGAAAAGTTAAGGAGCAACAGGTTATCCTGGTATGTGACGTCGAGATGAGCATAATGTCGTCAAGAAATTTTTATGTAAGGAGATTACGGGAATAACAGTAGACTTCAATAAGTGAACTAATTCAATGAAGTGTTTGCTGTTCTGATTGCTTGTATTTTAAGAGTATTTTCATTTATATAATAAATTAATACAAAGTATAATTACTACGGTTATTTAAATAATTGGCTTCTAAAAGACTGAATGTGAATTTCCGTAGTAGAGCACTGCTTCGACACAAATAATTTTCGTTGCTTTTTGAAGAGTAAGTGTTCGTGTGGTGACGGATTAATTATACGGAGTATTACCACCCTTATTCCTCCTCTGCCACTGATACTGGAGGGGGGGGGGGGACTCGTTTGAGTTGAAGGTGTCCATGGGCAGCGGTAGTTACTTACTATCAGGTGACCCATCTGCTTATTTGCCACCGTATATTATAAAAAATGATAAGAATAAATTCTTATCATTGTTTATTTTATGTTCTGTATCTAACCGATTATTCTGTGATTATTTTAAGAGAAAACTTCTATAGGCGCGATGGGCATTTTTGAACAACAAACAAAGAATGTATTTGATGAAAAAAAAACCATTGAACTCGCGACACTGTTACCATTACCGACACCTCTGTTGAGGTGAAAACTTCTTTAGGCGCGTTAGGCATTTTTTGAGATGGGAAAAAAAATTAAACTCGCTACACCGTTACCGTTACCAACATCTCTGTGTATAAGTTTTCAATTATGTCGGCACTCCCAGAGTGCCACTGTTATTTTTTTTGTTGAGTAACTTTTCCAAGTTAATAAATACGTATTAAAGAAATTACTTAGAAAATTCTTTACCGTGTTACGTGTACGAAGTTGGGGCAACGTTGACGTAACCAGTTCATAATGAACACTATGTCTTAATAGTATTTAGCACACCGCTATTATGTTCAATATTGTCAATTAAAATACACTTAAATACTCACGTAATCAATTTGTTTATGTTTCTAAAATTACTTCAATATGTTTGGAAATTTATGTCAATTACTTCAGTTCAGTTTAGTTTAATGTTTCATAACCTGGTTTCTAAGCCAGCGGTCGTCGATTCGACTTCCACCCAAGACAAATAATTGTAGAATGAACGAAATCATCTTTTCTATGTCTAATTTAGTCTATGTATAATTAGCTATTGCTCGCGTCTTCGTTCGTGTAATCATTTCTTATTTTGTGTTTCTAACTTTGAAAATGATAAACTTCCATAGAACCGTTCTTACCTTTTTACCCCCTTAGGGATGTCATTTCCAAAAACTTTCTTAGTGGGTGTTAAATTACAGGTTTGTAGCCCCAGTGGCTTAGGTCCAGCATTGATGAATCAGTCAGCCAGGGCAAGTAATTTTATATGTATAGACATGTATAGGCATATGTGTGCCTTGGCGATGCTGTGGTCGTCATCTCGCAGAAGGAGGCGGCGGAGAGAGCCCGGGAGGATAACCTCCACTCGGACCCAATTCGTCGCCGGCGAACCGGCCGTCCTGAGTGTGGCCGCGGGTGGACGGGACGGGTTTTCCCCTTCACCCGCCATAACGGCCAGCCGCGAGGAGGCGACGTCCATGTGTGTAGGACGTCGCCTAAATGGAGAATGTATCCGAAGATGGTGCCCCCGCCATTGCGGGCAGGCGCTAGGAGGGGTCCGGATGTCTTAATAATAGCAGTTCCCGGATCTCTCCTATTACAGGCGCAGAGTGACACACCGTGTGGTTTTAGTGGGTCCTATTCCGACACACCACCCCGCCGTAAACCCCGGTGGGGTGACAGTCCGAGGGGGGTTTGAACACGTTAAAAAAAAAGCGTATGCGACTGCTTTGCTAAGGTTACGCTAAGTAAAGGTCTCTGGTTCGGTTCCTGGGTCGAACCAAATGTTTGTATATGATCGCAAATATTTGCTTCGAAATTTGGGTGTTTTCTATGTATACTATGTATGTAATTTCAAAATAAGTATATAAGTATTCTATCAGTCAATCTAGCTTTCATAGTAAGAGTTCTGCTTAGTTTGAAACTAGATGGCGTTGTGTGTCAAATGTCCGCAATATTATATCAGTAATTTTATTGGCAATATGATTACTATAGACTAAGCTCTGATTGATTTATCCAGCTTGCTTTATTATAATATACTAGAATACGGAATGTCACCACCCCTATTCATCCCGTGGCCGCAAGGGAACAAACTGTACAGGACAACAGCACTGCAAAAAGAAAGAAAACTTGAAACAAACCCTATACCAACCCGTCTGGTCAGTGTGGTATAGTAGGCCAAAATCTCTTACATAAGGTGAGGCCTATGTCCAGCAGTGGACTATTATAGGCTGCTGATGAAGCTCTGCTTGATTTGGGATCAGATGGTGTGGGAGATAATACCTCGATACGGTATTATTATCTGGTTAAATATTCTGGTGTCAATGCGAATAATAAATGGAACCTGTCTTCCATTTGGTTGACCCTCATTTAAGGTACAATTACAAACTGACTTTATAATTATGTAGTCAAATAGTGTTGTTTCAGAAATTTCTTGAATTTATAATAAAATATGAACTTTAAATTAAATTTAAAAGAATATGCAAAGTATGCATTTAGATCAGGAATTTTCTCTAGAAAATAGATACATCTTTAGAACGTAGTGGAATATTTTTCAACTTCAATTTATAATAATATTTTTATTGAATAAAGTTAACCATACAATAAGCAGAAAATTACACAATGACTACATTTAACAATACTAAGTTTTAATGAATAGTATGGCAATAGAGTAATTTATTAGATTGAGTTAACACTTATTTCTTTAAGTATATACATACTTTATATATGAGGTCATAACGGATTTTAGCACCGGTACATTTATTTTATAATCTTACCGTGTCTGGTTAGTCTGGATCCTCCCCAGAGTAGGACGCCTAAGTGTTTTTTGTGACGCCTAAGTGGAAATATCATATACTCCTCGTTTCTGCATCACACGAGGACGCCTCCCAGCAGCCAAACATCTGAATGGATTTTCCACCCTTTTAAAAAAAAAAGGCATAGCTGATAAGAGATGTCCGATGGACTGTATGCTAGTTTGACATCCTAGTAGTTTAAAAATGTCTTTATACTAAATTAAGATTTTCTCTTCTCAGTATAGATCGCGATGGCCGTACCTTTGCCTGCCGATACTGTTGGCGGCGTCGGCATGCGGCAGCAATATCCTGATGATCACTATGGGCGGTACCAAATCACATAAGATGCCATTCTGGGAACTTTCCAGAGGACTTATTAGAAGGTACGTACCAGCTACATATTACACATAATATGTTAGATTATCATAATCATTTTAGGGTACTTATCACCCAGAAGAAAATGTTCGACAGGGATGAAAAATAATAATTTTGAGGGTGCTAAACCTCATATTTAGTTTAGAGCCAAAGAAATATTAAAATATCAATGTCAGATGTAATACTACGGTTGACCGAACATAATCAATTAACTTAGTTCTACGATCCTGCCTTTGTGATCACGTTTGTCATTTCTACTGGCTTTAAAAGGAGAAATAATATTTTGAATATTGATAAAATTGGTTTTCGATTACAAGGTTTAAGTCAAATTGCAAGAGCGATAACTTTGTTAGGGCTTAATAAATTGAAAAAGTAACGATATGTATTTTTTTCCAAATATATACGCTGTTTATCTAAGCGAGATGCTTAGATAAACAGCGTCGTATTAAATAACATCCGTGTATTCTATAAATATTATCCCTCATAAAAAAAACTTTTTTAACATTTTTCTTTTTAAATTCTTTCATTCAACATTCGCATTAACGTTAACAGCATTAACGTTAGAGTTTATATTGATCGATTTGTTAACATAGGTTAATATTTAATCCTACGAGGGCGTCTCCCCCCCGGGCTGGGTGTAATCTGCTACGCGGATGACACCTTAGTCACGTTAGCCCGGGGGGCTAACTTTCAGGAGGCGCCGCGCCTGGCCGCCACGGGAGTTTCCCAGGTGGTCGGGCGCATTGAGGCGTTTGGATACGTGTGGCCCTGGATAAGACGGAGGCCCTACTATTTCATAGGCCCCGTCGTGGTCCACCCGCCGGCGCCTCAATCGAGGTAGGCTCGGTATTCGTACCGGTCCGGGCCCAGATGAGGTACCTGGGTCTGGTCCTACCCGGTAGGTGGCTATTCTTGTGGAGGGAATCGAGTCCCGCCTGCCACCACTGCGACTACAGTGAGGACTCGCCCCAGCACACGCTGGCGGTCTGCCCCGCATGGGCGACGCAGCGCCGGGCCCTCACTGCAGTCATCGGAGCGGATCTCTCTCTACCGGCCGTAGTTCGCTCCATGGCCGGTAGCGACAGTGTTTTTACCGCGGTCGCTACCTTCTGCGAGGAGGTAATCTCGCAGAAGGAGGCGGTGGAGAAGGCCCGGGAGGACGACCTCCACTCGGACCCGATCCGCGCTCACCTGCGCCTCATGCCGACCTGAGTGTGGCCGCGAGTGGACGGGATGGGTTTTCCCCTCCACCCGCATTAGTTTGGCATGCCGCGAGGGGGCGGCGTCCGCGTGTGCCGGACGTCGCCTAAAGAGAGGAAAAAGTTGAGACGGAGCCCGCACCAGGAGCGGGCTGGCGCTGGGAGGGGTCCAGAAGGAGATAACTACCTGGACCCCCCTTTTTTTTTTTTTCCCGTGCTGAAAGCCCCTCGGATACCACCTGTCGGTGGCATGTCGGACTCGAACCGACTTAAACCGTACGCCGTCTCGGGTACTAATAGCCGGGGAACCAGATATACCCTAGAAAGGAAGTCCCTGGTGCAGGAAGTCCCTGGTGCACCTGGACCCCCCCTAAAATAGAAGCGCAAAGAGAGCACACCGTGTGGTTTTAGTCGGTTCGAGTCCGACACACCGCTCCGCCGAACAGAAAACCCCGGCGGGGTGACATGACGGTCCGAGGGGATTTCCACACGTTAAAAAAAAAGAAGGTTAATATTTAATAAAAACTTTGTAACCTTCCAGTTGGCTATTAGTTGCTTTCAGTTTTGCTCAGCGAATACAAACATTATCATGTATTTCATCTATATAATAATCAAAGTACTAAATTTTTAAAATACTTTAAAATACCTGCAGGATATTAGTAGTTTATATGGAGTCTTTAAATCAATTCCAGAAAAATACCTTCACAATAATATTTCAAGAATTCGATCCTAGGTCTGAGATTTATGTGTTTAAGAGATTCTAAACACATGTAAATGACCTTTGTCAATTTCTGTACATTTCTGTGAATATGGTAATAGTTAAATGAAACTGAAAACAATCCTTGGCCCTAATGTGAAAAGACCCAGAATATGCCAAACACGATATTTTTTCTTTTCAGAGGTCACAACATAACGTTCATAAGTGCCTTCCCAGCTGACTTCCACATCACTGGTATGGAGGAAATAGCTCCTGAGGGCCTGGTGTCTTATGTACGACAGTTCATGTCTTTCGATCTGGTCGGTTCAAGAATGAGAGGCGAAATTCAAATATCTGTGCAGGATATCATCAGATATGGCTACGAGGTAAGATTTAAAGTAAACAACTAATGTTAAAACAAACAGATTAATAAGAACTATGAGAAACACAGTTTTCCGTCTCCTCCTTTTTTAGGAGCAGTACGGCACATGTGTCAAAATATCGAGAAGCATCGACAAAAATAATTTTAAAAAGTACTCTCGAAGTAGGTACATTTTAGGAAGCATATGAGTTTTGCAGGTAGGGTTTAGGAGGGGTCCAGTGTCTTAATAAAAACCAGTCACGGATTCATTCTATTTAAGTGAAGTATGGTTTCCCGTATAGTTTTGGTCGGTTCACTTTCAACAAACCGGGGTAGGGTGAGGGCCCGAGGGGTTTTCACCAAAAACTAAGGTTATTAACGTGGAGACGATGGCAGAGGAGATATGCAGTAATTCGTTCAAGGGTTCTTATAGTAAGTAATCATTTAATGGAGGATGTGAGTAAAATTGTGTTTTATGCCGTTTGAATAGTTTCGCTATGAATAAAACGTCTACTTATTTTCAAAACTTCTATTTAAAAAATTTAAACGTTTTTCCTCTTCACCAGGAATAGTGAACGTAGTATTGTAGTTAGGGAGTAATCATTTACTATAATAAATATTGTGAAAAACGCGTCTTACATTAAATTATATTGCAGTTCATTCTTGGTCATGTAGCAGTCAGTTAAAATTACCATGACACAGGCTCTACCTAGTTTGGAATCAGACGGCCATGTGTGTGAAGTTATTATTCTTATTTTATAAAAAAAAAATGTATATTAATAATGGCGGTACGACTGTGTGGTGTCATGTTTGCTTGGATGGATAAGACGGTATTTACGTATAAAGTTTTCGTAGTAAAAAAGTCGTCTACAGATTCTATTTTTATTTAATGTGTATTAATTATTAAACTATCGCGTTCCATATTATAAATAATATGTTCTATGAGAATTTAGTCTTTGCCTTGTATTTGCCTGACTTTAGATCGGGTTGCACTTTCAATGGTTACAAGATTAAAATGCAAAAGTTTATACATTATTCTCATAGTGAGCGTATTAATTCCTGTTATATATAATTGTTATAAATTCCATTTGTAATTAGAATTTTTCAAAATTTGTCAAATTTCCTTAAATATCTACTGGTCACTTGTATACTTACTGATATTTTGTAAAATACGGTATTTGTACTGCAGGGTATTTGTAAAATAAAGCTATCTGACACACAATACGAGTATATTGAAATACGGTACAAGTATCTATTTATAAATAGCACGAAGCACATAGTTTTAATCAAATATGCAAAAAGAAAAAGGAATAAGTAACGCATTCTTACCTACATTCCTCTTCCAACGATAAACAACATTTTCCATTAGTTTTTAAGTACAGCTAATAAATAATTCAGTTAATAATAATACAAGGAGGGAAATTTCATAATGCTAAAAGGAACATAAAAGGAATTGCTATATATAAGCCGATCTCCTTGTAACGACTCATAGAATTAGAGATTTAACGGACTTCATAAAAGCAGCTTTAACAAATCTCCACGGCAAATTAGTTTACGCATTGTATCTACTGAAATTAAAATCAAATTTAGAAGTTAAAATGAACAATATTTTAGACTTGAATTATCAGCAGGTGCGCTGAATAAGTAACCGTAATTGCTCTGTAACCGGTAAATCTAGTGTGTTATAACATTTAAAACTATCATTAACTCTTACACGTTATATTAATAATCGACACGGGTGATAAAGTGAGATAAAATTGAATAATTATCTTTAAAGCATGTACCTTATCGTCTCCAACATGCCCAAGTCAAAAGAGAAGCAAGAGAATTTTGTATGTTATAATAGCCTGATGTTACCCAGTAATGCCTTGGACAAAATCTAGTCTCTCATGATGTAGGGATGCTAATTGTTCTGGAGTTCTCCTGAATATTAGCATCGTAATGAGCATAAATTCCTTAGAAACTATTTTAAAGTTTTAACGATCAGAGAACCGCATCCAGTAGTTATCGGTGGTGTTCTTTATTAAAATTAATAAAGAACACCACAGATAACTACCACTCACTTCACCAAATCGTGCTTTCCGAGAGCAAATGCATAAGTTACTATAAAAATAGTCAAATCGCCTTAAGTTTTCCCATAATATTTAAAGGGTTTAAAGGGTTGCACACAAAGCTTGATTTATTCTTTACACGAAAGAATTTTCCATTCAATATAGGGATGATAATTGCTAAAACTTTGAAATTAAATATTTTAATTAAAAAATATGCGTTAAATATTAAAAAATATTTAACAATTTTTTTCCCGGTTTCCCGTTTGAATTAGTCCACAATTCAATACTGACTCATGTTTGATTGTTCACAGGCATGTGATGCTTTCCTTAACGACCCAGAGACTAGAGCCTTCCTCAGATCTGGAAGGAGTTTTGATCTTATTGTCCTAGATGGCGCCTACCCTGAATGCGCCCTTGGTATTGCATACAAGTTCAAAGTTCCCTTCATGTACATCAACACTGTAGGATTTTATTCCACACCATTTAGCATATCTGGATCACCCACACCATATTCCGTTACTCCGTTCTTTGGATATGGCTTTACAGACAACATGGGTATATTAGAGAAAACTTTGAATGCTGCTTTTCAAATTGGAAGTTCGGCAGTCCATGCGTTTAGTATGCAGCTTCTTCAAGGTGTTTTAAGGCGGAATTTCGGATCACAAGTACCCCATGTCTACGATATGGCAAAAAATGTCAGCTTTATTCTGCAAAATGGACACTATTCTGTATCGTATCCTAGGCCCTATCTTCCTAATGTGGCTGAAGTTGCGTGCATACACTGCAAGGAGCCAAAGGTTTTGGACCCGGTGAGTTGTTTTTTTTAATTTAATTAATAGTAGTATTATAAACTGTTGTGCAATTTCTCATTAAAGAAACCACAATATGCCACGGCGAAGGGTGAACATTTAGAAGTAAAAATGATCACTAAAGAATACCTGTCACCCCATTACATGTTGCTTGAAATTATGTTAAATTCTCTTAGTATTAAAGAGGGTTAAAGCGAGAGAGAGAGAGCAAAACCTAAAATATAATTATAATTGTCTAGTCTGTCTAAAAGTCTATAAATATAATTGTGTAAAACAGTCTTTTGAATTCAGACACATTTGATCAATAAAAAGCAAGAGCAATAACATATGAATTTTTTGTAATTTTATTTCAAATTTAGTTGTCATTCAATAGGGCGGATAGAAGTCAGGAACGTATTTTAGGCAACTTATTCATTTTATAATAGCATAGAAATATTCTTCCTATGTTGTAATTACTTTGCAGTATTAGCTAAATGGTAAATGCTCAAATCGCTTCGCCTATTATCTTGGCGAAAACGAAAAATGTTTTTTACCTTTATTTGGAAACTTATTAATTAAGAATTATATATATTCATTTATGGTTTTCAATTTCTTAATATTGTTTTTTAATACATTGTATATTCTTTATCAACAGCCTTTATTAATCCACTGCTAGACATAGGCCTCTCCTTAGGTAGGAGGTTTTGGCCTACTATATCACGCTGGCCAGACGGTTTGGTATAGGGTTTGTGTCAAGTTTTCCTTTTTTGCAGTGCTATTGCCTTGCGTAGTTTGCTCCCTTACTCGGTTCTTACGACATCCACGACACACTGTTCATGATATATTTTCTTAATTGTCATTTATTTATTTGGCATTTCAGGAGATTGAAGAATGGATCTCTGGCGCAGGGGAGACAGGCTTCGTATATGTTTCAATGGGGTCATCCGTTAGAACAAGCAACATGCCTCTGTCTGTCCATCGATTATTTGTGGAGGCATTGGGAAGACTGTCCCAGCGAGTGCTGTGGAAACAGGACGCTGAACAGAATATGACTGATATACCTTCTAACATAAGGCTTTATAAGTGGCTGCCTCAACAGGATTTACTCGGTAAGAAATGTTAATTTTCAAATTTACACTATTTATTTAATAATTAACGAATCGATCAGGCCTACTTATATAACTTTGAGTTCGATTTAGTGTTCGTAGTTCTCAAGAGAGTAGTCTTTTAAATTTACGGTAAATCTGAACTTCATAATTGGCATATTAAAGACATCAAATTATAATTTAAAAAAAAACAATATTTATTTACAATTTAGTTATGTCAATGTAGCTATACATATGTATCTTTTAAATTGTATCAATTCGTTTAGGTCGCCGAATTTTAACTAATTACAGGCTAACTGAGTCAGTCAAGAATTTGTAGTTCCTGACGTTTCAATGGTCGTGGGACCTTTGAAACGTCAGGCAACTCAAATTCTTACACATTAAAAATTTCGTGATCTCCCCGAAGTGATTATTACCAATGCGAAAAAATAAAAGTTAAAACCGACAAATTATAACAATATTCGGATCCATCAAACATGTGCTGCCATTTGATGTAGGAGCACACAATTAACATGTTATATAACTCTTGAATACTTTCAAGATGATTCAGTTCAACTGATGGTTGAAATGACGATCGGTGTAAGACACAAATTTTTAGTTTAATCTATTTCGAAATAACGTAGTAGGACAAATGTCCTACTATAGCATAATAATATATAATATATTAATATTTAATCGTTCGTAATTTAATTCGCTAATTTTTAATCGTTCCATACTTATGAAAACAAGTCATCCAAATTTCCAGGTATAAAAAGAAAAAAAGGTACTCTAAATTAAACATTTCTTTATTTGAAGGTGAATTTCTTATAATGTTAAAGAGTTAAAGCAAAAGCTTGTTTCAATTTATAGAAAAAGTTAATTAAAATGAATGATAATTTGTTAACAATATACCCATAGACTTGATGAGTTAATTTATTACTGTTTTGAATTGGATGTTCTTGAATTTAAATGTGTATCTTTGGATTAAACGTTCTAGAAATTAAATGCACATCATTCGATTACATTTCTTAAATTACACAATACAATAACATTTAATTCAAGGACCATAATAATTAAATAATTCTCGATGATGAAAAATTTAATAGTATAACAATTAAAAACATATTTTAGTACAAATATTGTGAAGAAATTAAGTAAATCTATCCTTCTTTTTTAAGCAATGGTATCGAAGCAATTTAACCAGTGTGAGTTAACAACTTTTATTGCTTCCATAGAACAGTAATTCAGTTCCACTAGTTTTTACAGATTTCTCCCAAATAATTTATGAAGAGTGTCGATCCGTGTATGCAGAGCCTATACCGTGTATGCAGAGCCTACACCGTGTATGCAGAGCCTATATGGTGTATGACTGACCTGTTCATCTAGTTTTTAGTGAACCTGATTGGTCCTGTTTGGGCTCAGGCAGTGTTTAAAAATTGTGAAGTAGTTGTGAAGAGTGAACTATGGTTCACCTTTCTCCTATAAAGAGAATCTAATTTATCAATTGGATAACCTATAGAAAGAATCGATTATATTATCGAATGATGTTCTTTTTAGGTAATCCTTAACTTTTTCATATATTTTATTACAGGTCACCCTAAGATCAAAGCCTTCGTTACACACGGAGGTCTTCTTAGCATGTTCGAAACTGTCTACCACGGAGTACCAATTGTCAGCATTCCAGTCTTCTGCGATCATGACGCCAATGCTGCCAAAGCTGAAGGTGACGGTTATGCCAAGAAACTGGACTTAAGACATCTCGATTCAGAAAAATTGTATGAAGCCATTCAAGAAGTAATCAGAGAGCCTAGTTATAAAACTGAAGTCAGAAAAAGACAAATTTTACTGAGGGACCAAAAAGAAACTCCTCTAGAAAGAGCAATCTATTGGACTGAATACGTAATCAGACACAAAGGCGCATATCACCTGCAATCTCCAGCCAAAGATTTAAACTTCTTCCAGTACTACTGTTTAGATTCTCTTTTATTAGTAACTTCTTTGTTAATCACAATATACGGTCTTATGTCATACGCCTTAAGATTGAGTTTTAACAGATTAATCAACTACGTACAGAAAAGACAACTGAAGAATTTATTTGGTAGTTCTAATAACGTGTTGAATTTAGAAGAACTGAATGGAACTGGAAAATCAAAGAAGAACTTATAATTCTTATATAAAAAGTAGTTATTACCACGATTATCCTCACAGACATTTTATATCTAAGTATCCTTCAGCATCTGGTTGTTTTATATTGTATTTATGAGTTACGCTGGAAATTTTAAGTCCATTGTAACAGATCCAATTGAGTCTTATATGTGGATTAAGACTTATAATTAGACGAATTATTACCAGACAATAAACCTAATGCAACTAGCCCAATGAGATAATTTCATTATAATTGTACTTATCTACAATAAGCTGGGTATCTGTTGTAGATGTAATATGTTTTTTTTAGAAATAAGAGTAACATATAATATACTTAGGTTTACCTTATGACTCATAAACCGAAGATTGCATATTAATTGCGTGGAGTCGGGGTAAACTGAAACTGTGATTGTGAACTTGTGATTAAGAATTTTTGTTTAACAAAATATAGTTCATAGTTTTGAAATTTTTTAACACTAAAAAAACAGAAGTTAAGTTTTCGTAACAGAAGAAGGTGCAGCTTATTGCACTACAAAATTAAATTGCTGATTTAAAGTTGACTGTTGACTGTTATCTTTATTTTAGCTTTCGAATTTTGTGAGAACAATCATACTTTGCAGCTTTTTAAGACGTCAGCTTTATCTAGGATTAATATGGTTAATAACTTTTGAAAAACAATGTACAAAGAGTAATCGTATGAGAAACTGTTGCAATATATAATGTACCGCTGTGTAAGACAAAAACACATTATAACCATTTCATTGTGTGTTACCACACGAGTTACCATTTAGTGCATATCAGATTGATTTATGTAAAATTTGTAAATATTTACATGTTAAGTTTTAAAATAAGATAAGAATATGCGATTGATTAAATTATAATAAACAATTTAAATTGGACGTTTTTTGTTATTTAACCTCTTGCTTGTAGTGTAAAGATCAGCTAAAAATAAGCATATCATATAGAAGTAATCGACGATACATAACAGATATATGCAAAGACTAAAATAAAACAAACTCAATAATTAACAACAAAGTGCAAGTTTATTGAGTTTAGACGCAGATGTCTAGTTCGCACAATGTTTAGCGGCCGAAAAGTATCCAGATCGCAGAATGTCCAATTCGCAACATTTCCAGTTCGTAGGATGTCCAATTTGCAGAATGATCAATATTCATCCGGCGAGTGCTACAACCAAACTGCTTCCGTTGTATTAAGTAGTTGAACCAATGACACTAGTTTTTCTATTGAAATATCTGGAATATTGGTTCATTCTGCAAACTGGATATTCTGTGACATGAACACTTTGCGATCGCTGGGAATTATGCAAATTGTACATAAACCGAAACGGTTTATTGTTCCAAAAAATGACAGTATACCTACATTCTACACAGCTTTAACACGTATTACTAGGTCTAGTACGAGTCGAGTACTTCTCAACTACAATGCATAGTTTGTAGTTAATTTATTTAACAATACAAATACGTGATATTTAATTTATTGATCTGTATAGAAAACAATAATTTACTAAATGTGCTCCTTAATGACTAAAAAATTAAAAAGAAAATCGAGATCTATACTAAGGCCTAGCATTTATAGAAGAAGAATATATCTATTTAATATTACATTACCTATATAGTATTTTATATGACTAGAAATAAAAGCCTTATATATGAAAAACCTACATATCAGTGTTAGATGAAAATCACAGTTTAAAAGCAAAACATAAAATCATTTGATCGTAAGCCTTAAGCATTCCTCTTCATCTAATTTCGCGTACTGCGGAACATATATCTTAATAAGTAGAATATTATCTAGTTTGGTGAAACTTTCACAAATTAATTATTAAATCTTGGGGGAGTGGGTTCTTATCAAAGCTTGGTGATCATGCCTGGCGGACTGCACCCCAGTAGTGAATGACGAGAAATGGTACATTCTAAACTAGGCAATGGCAAATCTTTCACTGCGTGATACAGGATCAATAATTGCCAATTAGTTTGGCCTTTCTCATTAGATGGCGCTGATGTATGTTTTTTTTCTGTAAAGTAAGGGTTCCCTGTGCTTATTGTCAAATGAATTTGAAAAAGATGCTTCGTGTATTAGAAAACATAATATTAAGTGCCAATTAATAGGATCATTGATTATATCTTTTGTAAGTCTAGATTTAGGTTTTCCTATATCTTAAAAGATATCGGAAAATTTGAAGCCACATGCCTGTTTGAACAACTCCATACCGACGGCTCCAGATTATGGTAAACCTCAAGAGCCGCCTAAAGGTCGATTACATGCTGATCTTTGTCGGTTCCTGGGTTTGGCCAATGACGCTGATGTCCTTCTGTTGCTGTTCGTCCTCTTCGGGGGTCACCGTCGAAACTTTGTTATCCCCAGATGTAGCTATACGCATTATGTCTTCTAATAAATAAAATAAAAACATATTAGTTACTTAATTAGTATGTGATGTTTTTATTTTATAAAATCGTCGTTTTCATATTGAAATAATAATAATAATATTTTTAAACATTTCTTACACGGCCGTCTACTACTACTACTAACCAGACTACTAACAAACATACTTATATATTTCTAAATACATACATATTATAGAAAAAATACACCCAGACAGAACAAATGACCATGCTTATCACACAATATTTGTCCTGCGTGGGACGATTCCCAATGCTCATGGGTTTGATAGCCCACGACCTCTGGCGTTGCAGCTAGGGTCACCAACCACTAGACCGACAGGCCAGAAATATGTGTCTTCGTCTAATTTTATAAATATATAAGAAGACATAGGTTTATGGAGAGAAAAATGATCTTATTATACTCGTAGATTAAGCATATATTCAAGTTACTTCTATTGAAGCCTGGGAAAAGATCCAAACTTTCCTCATATTTTGTTACATTTTCTGATAGATTTATTAACTACAAACTAGTGAAATATTTTGTTGAGTTGACCTCGACCACTTTAAGACCGTCCCGTTCCTCATCCGAGACTTCCACTGTCCCTATTTGTTTTCTCTATCGTCTTATCTGTTTTCTTTACCAAAATTCACATTTTCCTTTGTACCTCCTGAAATTTATTACTTTCCCCCCAAGGAGGACTGGGGCTAAGCAGACGGTCAGCGTCAAAAGAAACCAGCCAAAATTATTTGCAATGTTACACATTTCTCGAAAAAATATGATAATTGGGATGATGATTTCAACGAACTTAAAAACTATTATTTTTTATCATAATGGTTTATCACTAAAAATGTCAATGTCACTGCACTGGGCCAAAGGTCGTTGGTTCGATTCCCACCTACGCAAATAACTGTGTGTTTATCGGCAGTCTGTTTATCATAGTTTAGTTCCTAGTTTCGTCTTATCATCTAGTTGTGTATTAGATGGTTCAAGTTTTTCTTAAAATATTTAACAGTCAAGACTTCTTACCTCTAAAGTGAAAGATTATACTAATAAGGACACCCAAGCTTCCAAAGGAGACCAGCCACCAGCGTACGACGGCTACAATTCGTTTTGGTATAAATAGTTGATGTTTCAGCATGTTCACGAAGGTTTTATTTAGAGCCAATCCCTAGAAATGACAAAATATTCAAAAATAAGACTGATGTTAACATTTTTACTTGAGAAGGCAGTTTTACCATACAGTTTTGGGTCTTATTATAGTCATCAAACTTTTTTTAGAGCATCTTAAAGTAAAAAAAATATGTTTGTGTGTAGTTTAGTAACAAAGACCCCTATATGTACTACGGCTTTTTAAAATTGATGAATACTACATTATTTTGAAAGACGATAACATTACAAATCAATTTTTTTTCTTCGAAGCTCTAGCAAAAAGGCTAATGTATATTCTTTTATATTATCTAGAGAATGGAAATCAATAAATAAATAAAATGTATGTAGTGCTGCGCCAGTATCATTTATAATCATTTGCACGAGCACTGGTTATTAAATCGTTCTATTAGGCCGGCCATAAGCAATATGGAAATAATTACCTCCTCAATCCAAAATATTGGCGCAATGGATCCTGGAAGTCCTTTAAATAATGGAACTTTATCACTTTGTACCAGTTCCATATTGAATTGAATTCTTTGCTTAGCTACTAATGGTGTGCCTGATATCTGTAACAGAGATAAAATAGGATTAGGATATCTTTCTTAGGGTACACCTGGTTTCCCGCCTACTGATAACCGAGATGGCTTGCGGTTATTATTCGACCGGACCAACCGAAGGAATCGACGGTACCCGAGGGGATTTTCACACAGAAAAAAAAGAGTATTGTCGTCAAGATTCTAGTACAGGATTGTTTTATTTCATTATTGAATATATTTTCCAATACTGTAATCACCTATTTCATAATTCCATACTTCATCAGCAACATATTTGTTCCCTTGTAATTTTAAACCTCCATCCATAAGCCAATAAAAGCTTGACGATTGGGAGTGCGTACCCGGTATTTGATGGTTTACCATCAAAAACTTAACTTACTCAACGGATTAAAATCTGGGTGCTTTCCCGAGGAAATTAGATTTCAGTTTTTTTTTAATTATACACATAATGGTATTAGCTTTCTTGTAACGCTTAATTAATTCGTAAAATACGTACCGGTTCAAAATCAATTTCAATTCCATGCTGATCAATGTCCGGATTCAACCCTTTCACATGCTGCAGCAGTTCAGGGTCACTGTCTAAGAAGTGGGGCAGAGATGCATGCATAGGGGCACCAATGCACTTTGACAAATCCATAAGGCCCTTTGGAGGGCATTTGTCGGGAGCATTGCAAAAGCACTGTAGCTCGGGGTCATTGGCAAAGTCGCCAATATTTGCGACGTAGCGGTTGGTTCTGATCCCTTGATACGAAGTCTTCTTTTGGTAAGAGGGCTTGAAAGACCTGGAGTGTTCAGATTTGTTAGAAAGACATTATTTTTTGTTAAGAACATTCAATATTTTAGTTTACGTATTATGCCTTCTTTTATATTCATAAAAGTGCATTATATACTCCAAATAGGTAGAATGCTCATATTTTTTTGACAGGCGCTGAAGCTTTCCTTAAGGAAGTAACTGCATACTCCAAAGCACGAGAAGAACTTTCATGTCTGTGGTAATATGACATTTACTTGGCATGAAAGTAATTTCATTTGTCTGGTTTGTTGTTATATTCCTACAAGTATTTGCTTTGCGTGAGACTAATTAGTAAAGAGCTGGTCACATAGGATATTGATGGTCACGTCCGCGTGTGCCGAACGTCACCTAAATATAGAATTCGCCCGCAGGTTGTTCCCACGCCATTGCGGGCAGGCGATAAGAGGGGTCCGGATGTCTTAATAGGGATCCGGGAACTACCGTAGTTCCCGGATCCCTCCTATCACAGGCACACCGTGTGATTTTAGTCGGTCCGATTCCAATACACCACGAGTGATTTCCCGAGGGGGTTTCCACACGTAAAAAAAGTATTTATTCTTTGATGCTTTTTTTTATAAGAATTTGTCTTGTTTAATTATAAATTGATTTATATCTTTCTTATAATAAGTATGTTACCTGCACAGTTCACCAGAGAACGACTGTAGTCTATCCTTTTCCGTCAAAAATGGAGGGAATACCGTACCATCTGTTCCTTGGTACTCATTGCAAGAATCTCTCCATATCTTTTGTTCTGTTTCTCCATCGATAGCGATTACACTACCAACCTCCATGACATTATTTTTGCCTCGTTTCACAGTAATTACATGAGGATCTATGGAATTGTTTCTCTGTAAATTTAAGAAAAATAAGAACTTATGAGTAGGGCATGCCTTTTTCTACTATTCTTATAACGCGTCGTGTCGCGTGACAGCCTTAGGTCAGGAATATTTCATCATCATCATCATCTCACCTGAAATACATCCATTGCTGTACATAGGATCCACCAAGGTTGGCCAGAACAACCGTTCCTGGCTGCCAGAAAACGTTGGATGCGGACAGGAATATTATATTAATTAATTAAAGGAATATTAATTTCAAAATAAAAGTTCTCTTAAACACTGAACTGAATAGACTGCGAGTATCAAGTTTTACTATTATATACGGAATTCCTTGTTTGCATGATAATACTCTATTGCAGAATTGCGAGAGTTGCAATTTATTAAATTCTCTAAAGACTTTTCATTCAACAAGGATGACGACTGAAATGAGAAAGTTCCCATGTGAGTAGAGGTGAGTGACGCTTTTCAGTCGATATAAAAGTAACATCAAAATTGTTACTGTTCAAATGAAACTATTAAGGTTTATCTTCGTACAAAATTCTTTTCACCTTTTATTTCTTCCTAAACTGGCGGTGCCACGATCTAAGTTATACACAACTTGTATTAGTAGTTTGGAATAAGTCGTCTTTTCAGCACGTCTTTACTAATAAAAGCTAATTTTTGTATTTTGTAACTTACTAAATAACTATGTTAAAAAGCTTGGAAGTTAATTTTAAATTACTTCTAATGTCGTATTAAAATATATTTTTTGTGTATTTGTAGAAGATAAGAGTTCAAGAGGGCTACTAGAAACGAAGTTGTACCTTACAAAATTAGGCTCATGTAATTCATTTTGAAGAGTCCAACTGAATGAAATGAGTTCAAGTGGTAGATACTGAAACCCTTTTTAACTACTTAAAAAAAGAAGGAGATCTTGAATTGTATTTCTCTTTTCATGTTAGTTACCTCAGAACTCCGTCATTACGAACCGATTTAGAAGAACCTTTTTTTTATTTAAAGGAAAGTTAAAATTCCATCTCTAAGAGCGAAGGAAAAATACCGTTTATCATAATTTATTACGATCTTAACGCATTGATGTCGGTTAAATTTCAATTTGATCTTTTCATTCAGTTTTATTAAACTTTAAATAATAATTTAAAATGTGTACTCACTGTTCCAAACAGTGAAAACCTTAACTGATTGTTATCCTCCCACACCATTCCGCTAAGAGGTTCTTTCTTTAAGTGATTACAGACAGCTTTTGGTGCAAATTCAGTTCTAGCACAATTGATTATAAAGCCACGAAATAATAAATCCATGACTTTCACTCTAAGAAATACATCGGAAGGATTATCGAAGATTCCAGTGATTGCTTTACCGATGACACTCAACATGGCAGGCTTTTCACGAGACACAGAAAGTATGAGGCCCTGAAAGAAATTTACGCTTGTCGTTAGATGGTGATAGGACTAGGACAGCCCACAAACAATAAAGCCATGCTTAAAAAAATATATTTTAACAGCAAAATAAATATTGTAAATTTTCTGAAAATAAAATCGCCGGGTTATGTGCTATTGCTAAGAAAAACGACCTTAATAATAATATTTATTAAATATTAAGGGGTTACAGAAAATTGCTTTTCTGTTTTTATAACTCTATAATACTGTTACGAGCGGGGTATACGATAAATAAACGTTGTTGCTTAATTAATTTTATTGCACTGTATTTACAAACACTCACTATAACAAACAAGAAATCACTATATAACACGTTAGTCGCACTAGAAATTCGCTTCGATGTTAATTCGCTATGTCGTGAAACGATACTGTCCCGTACGACCAACACGCTCCGCTTTTATCTATCGAAATTACTAGTCTCATCCCGAAGATGCGATAGAATGTTCCAGATAGAACCACGTACAATAAGGCTACTCGTGGTTCTTCTTGTAGACCCCAGCTAGGGTCTCAGGTGACTTTGCCAGATTTACAGCCTGTCTAAGTGGTGTTCCGCGCGCGTGGTTAACCAGGTCGAGGTACGTGGCTCCCGCGGGCGACCAGCCACGGCCGGGCCTAGTCTAGTGTCACCCCCTGTGCTTGGCGAGGTTGAGCTCCGGGGGATGGGGATCCCGAGGAGCATACGTCAGCCAGCACCAGGTCAGGTGTTGAGGATGGTCCGAATGGAGCGCGAACCAAGCCAGGGCACCATAGGTGAGTCGGGTGCGAATGTACGCCTTGTACACACCGAGCTTCGCACGGAGCGGCAATCGGGACGACAGTAGGGAACAGGAGGAACGCGCGGCACGAACCGGGCAACGACGTCTACAGCAGGGTCTACAGTCCTTCAGCCAGCTGGGAAGTGTGTCTAGAGACACTCTATGAGGAACCCATCAAGGTAGCAGAGTTCGCACTATTTAGTGACGTCTTTGTAGGCAGCGTCGTCGGTGACAGAGATGTCGTCTGTGTACCAAGAGTAGCACACTGGAGACAGGCAAGTGGCACACCGGCACAGATCGGTCGCTGCTCGTCGCGTGTCTGAAGGTGTGGTTTCATGTGCAGCATGTGTAGTGTAATAGGCCGATAGCTTTAAGGTAGGAGTATGTTCTTCCTCGGCTCGGGCAGCATGATGACTCTTTCAAGTTGCCATGCGGTGGGAAAGTGCGGTGGAGGATGCCATAGAATAGACACAAGAGCGTCGCGATTGCACGTGAAGGTAGGTGATGCAGGACTTCGTTAGTTATCCGGTCGGGACCGGGCGCTTTCCGCATAGGCGTGCGGCGAATCATCCGCTGGATTGGGAAGGCATCTACTAATTTCTGTAAAGTTCCAATATTCGCCATTGATGGCACTGTAAGTAAGTATCGGAATTAAGAACCATAACCTCAATGCGTAGCGTTGTGCCCCACTTGATACTAGATGGCGCTGTCCTTCAGACATAACACAAATACCACTCAATCCTATGGCGCAACAATACGATAGTAAAAAGCTATGGGTCAAGATCGATATGACATAACACTTATGACATAACACTTATGACACTATGACATTTAATGCGTGTTTATATGTTCGTACAAAGAACACATCCTCCAATCTTGTCACTGATTGGCTATTTGAAATGCTCTCTTCAGTATCAGCCAATCAATGTAGAAAGCAAAGAGAGATGAAGCACCAAAACACTCTCATTTCTCGGTTTACCGGCCGTACGTTACAACTTACAGTTCGCTTCGTCTATTTAAATTATCTCTATGGGTATGGGTGACGTAGATAAATCCAACAAACTAAGACAGAAAAATCGGGGCAGTGGTTCTTGAGTTGTAAACGGTGATTAGATTATTCGCCATGTTTTGTCAAAGCAGCGGCTTAATTTCTTCAAGGTTAAATAATAGCAATTATACTCTTTTTATCTTTGTTCTTTTTCATAATTTTGTGACACGAGGTATTGGTATAATGTAAAATACTAATAAAAGTCACCGTTGTTCAAGCGAATATAACAAAAATAAATTATTATACAGATTTAAAATTCAAAACAAATTTTACCACTATAAAAATATGAGGTATGACAACCGTCTCCTCTCCGGTCAATCCTGGTCCAGAGAGTTCAGGTTTGAAGTAGAATACGTCCCGTTTCTTGTACGTTATTGTATCATCTTCTTCGTGGTCTTCAATTTCCATCTTCTCTTTCCACTCCCTATAAACATATTCAGCTACTTAATTATTAATACACAACTCAAGAATAAAAAATAATAAAATACGTTTTTAGTTATGGTATCGGGTGAAAGCAAACGGTCACCTGATGGTAAATGACCAACGCCGCCCATAGACACCTGCAACTCACAAGTTACAAAACCCCTAGAATTCTTTTTTTTTTAGGCAACTCAATTTTACAAACATACATGAAACGGACACAAAGAACACCCATACTCAAAACGACAATATTTGGATCATACGAAGTGTCGTTTTTAGGGGGGGATAGAAACCACAACACTTAGCTTAGCAGGAAGCAGCGTGGCGACCGCTTAAACCACTACGACATCCGTGCAGTCTTAGGGGGTTTCAGAATTAGTGTTTGGGCTCCGGGAACCTCACTCACTCGGTCAAAATCAAATCAAATCAAATCCGTTTATTTGCCAGAATGTAGATTTACTATGTGTATGATCTTAAAACTATAATGGCCCCTTTACATTCTACCATTAAATAGGTGTGCAAATATTTAATTTTACCCTGCAAAATGTTATTATTTGAAGTACTTAAAAAAAAAACAGAAAACTAACAAGTTCTCATGTATTAGGATTTATAGGAACAAATTAATTAATTGACGTCAAGTTTAAAGAATGTAAGAAATGCTTAATATCGGTTTTCTGTCAAACTGTGGTATCACTGTCTGACAGATGTCTGCCTGTCTGCCTGTCACTGTCTGCCTGGCCATATGGCGTAGTTCTCCCACGTTTCGTAATATAATTTACAATAACGTATTTTTGAGCGCCCGCGTGCAATACCGATGAAGCCGCCCTTTTTCCGTGCTGAAATCGCCCTTCGGACATCCGTGGTTATGAATTCATTTTCCGATCAAGATATTTTGTTAGTTTTTAGGGTTCCGTACCTCAAAAGGTAAAAAAGGAACCCTTATAAGATCACTTTCTTGTCCGTCTGTCCGTGTGTCACCATCGATTTTCTCAGGAACCGGTAGACCTAGCAAATTAAAATTTATACTAGATACTGAGGTCTATGGTCACTATTAGGTGTATAAAAATCAAGGTCCTGAGTCAACACGATAAAAGATATTGGCAAATTTCGATTTTCGCGAATAAAAAAGTTGAAAATTAAGGTAAATTTTGGTACTTACAAGTTTTCTCGAAAATCTACGTAAAATCTGGGTAGGTACGGAACCCTCGGCGCACGAGTTCGACTCGTACCGGACCGGTTTTTCCTTATTTCAATGAGTTTAGAAATGAAATTTCTTAATTTCGATACAATCATACCGCGGCATGTCGTAGAATGTACCTGGACGCCGCAGAATGTGGTGTCATGCGGTTATACACAGTATAGCCTTCGGAGTCAAGGGCGGAAGGCGGAGTCAGTTTCGTCTGCTCGGATAAAAAGTTGGTTGCGTCGTTCTGATTGACTGGGATTTAGTGTTACGAGTATTAGCAGTTCTTGCTGAACATGAATAGAAAGACAAACAGAAACTGATATAATGAAGCAAAAACAAATTTGGGTACATCATTTGTGAAGAACACGACAGATACTCAGTGTGAGTCAAGACGCGCGTGCTTCCTGCTTTGCCCACGCGCCCAGCCCGCGTTGTGGTCGAGGATGTGATCGGGTTCGTACTTTTGGAGAGCGTGGCCAATCCAGCTCTGTTTAGGGCATTCAATTTGCTGTTCGATAAGGGTTTCACTGCAAAAGTGGTTGCAGATTCTCGGATCAGTATATGCCGAGAGTTCTGTAAGGGCAACGGTTGATAAACACCTGTAGAGGCTGCGAGATGATTTAAGCTTCCTTCCAAGTTTCGCATCCATACAACAATACGGATTTAACGTGGAACGCGAATAATTTGAGTTTAACTCTTTGAGCCGATTTGCATGATGTCACGCAGTTCGAAGTTTTGCGATGCAGCTTGAGCCTTGGCAACACGCGAAGTGATGTCTTCCCCAGTTCCTGAAACGATGCTCCCGTGGAGTGAATTGGACATGATTATCCACACCAGATCACATCTCTTTGATCTTCTGAGTGTTAATTTTGATTCTTTTTAACATTTTTTTTCTAAGACATCAGTTATTTCCCAATCTATTCCAAGTCACTTGCTGTGGAATGCGTGATGCATAATTCCATCTAGGATAATAACAAAAAGGAGGGCGAGAGTAAGCAGCGCTGGCGGACTCCCACATGTACCTACATCATTGTCTACGGCGATGAAACCCTCGTGAGTAACAGGAATATTTTCTGTAGATGGCCTTTTTTTAAAACAAGAATTTAAAAAACATTAGAATCTTAACTTATAGCCTCTATAACCATTAACCTAAGGTACAAAACATGCTATACATAACTAACAAAGAAGAACCAATCCTTGAATAATTTAATAACTAATTGAACTAATCATTATTACTTGTGAATTAACGTCTTGTGTGTGATTTAACTTGTCGTAAATTAACTTATACAATATTACATGTAATAACATCAATTATATGTGTAATTAGAAAAGTTTTAATTAGTTACAAAGTTACCATTCATTATATTATATTTCTTTTATGTCTTCACAGCTCAGTTTCAGTCGCCTTAAGCAAACAATGTAATAGAACATTACTCGTATAAGGCTCAAACTTTCCGGCGACAGTCGGTTCGCGTTAAAGTTATTCAAGTCTGATCATCCTTAGCTAGTACTGTTATTTTACAATCTTTAAGTTTAGGCAACGTCCTTTTTTTCTGTCATTGTCTTTCCATTGTTATATACTTTTCCTATTTGAAAACACTCGCAATGTCCCCATAAATATCATCAACAGGGTACCACCACAACCGTCCCGCCTGCGCCACAACAAAGTGCCCGCTTGATGTCAATTAGCTTGGGTTCCTAATGTGAGGCCTCAGATAAGAAGCCGGGGGCTTTTTATATACCAATAATTACACGTGATATAGTAGGAACAAAAGTATATATATAAATATATATATATATATATATATATGACCTTTTATAACGTATAGGGTATCTCATGAGACGTCATGAGCCCATTTTAATTGTAATACTTTTTTATATATATAAAAGGGAATGAGGTTAAAAAGGTTCAAATCAATTGTTATTGCTTTTGTCTTTATGAAAAGCGGCTCGGCTTCGGCTTTGAAATGAACAAAATACAAGGCTTACTTACTCAAAGTAAAAAGGTCCAATTTCTTTAACGATGGGGATTGCTCCCTTTTGTATATCTTCTGGATTCGTATAGTTGAAGAAGTAAACCTTGAAATCTAGAGGGAATGGGATTTTTTCCCACATCTTGCGGACATCAGTCTTCTTAGATAGAGCCATCTCCTGTTAACAAATACATTGTGCTTGTTAACGAATGATGTTTGAATGTTTTTTGGCCCGTAAAGGTTAATACTATTATTGCACGCAATAATTAAGAAATCCTGGTAACTTATGTATTTATTTGATATCACGTATTTTAGAATTCTTAATAGAAATGTTCTGCAGTGGTATTCACGGTTCAGTTAATAGATAACCTGGTTTTACTCGAGTTATAATTAATACATAATTTGACAAATTATAACAAATTATACATAATATGTAATATGGAAACGATTATTTATTATGTGGTTTTATATTTTGTAAGTACACAATAATATATTACGATTATAGGTATCCAATGGGATAATTCAAAATTTTAATTTAGTAGGTATTAATTGTTTTGAAATAAAACCTCAACACTAAAAGTTAGTGTGACAAGAATTAAGTTTCTTCCACCGCAAGGATTCTTGCCTACGGTGGAGTTCCAGTCAGGAGACTCGCCGCCTCGAAGGAAATCGTACAGTACCCCCTTATAATCCTGATGGCCAGCACTCGGACTCGCACTGCATATAATTCAAGGTTTCTGGCCCTCAGGGCAGAAGCCCTGAGGGCCAGTATGGGCAGAAGCCCATACTGGCGCCGAGCATCAATGATAAATGTTGCAAAAACGGATCAGCTAGATAACTATATAAATAAATAATCGGAATATTGATTTTGTTTTTCTTCTTATTTTTCGCTGCATCTTTGTTTACGATAAAATCTCTAAGTTCAGCGTCTTTTGGCCTACTTGTTTCCTTTGGCGGAATTTAACATCTACATTGTCACAATCGAACGATAACCAGAAAATGGGGTTATATACAAAATGACCGAGCAACGATACTATAGTTAATTGTTTTGAGTAACGAGTTTCAATAGGTTTTTAGAAATTACCTTCTTCAACTGACTCTTCAATATAGCTGGGAACATGACCCATCCAAAGATGACTCCAAACAACGCAACTCCAGCGGCTATCGTGGCGTACCTCAACTCTCTTGGCAGTGCCATGGTTGAACATCAATTCTATAACAGATGGAAATACATTCAGATATATTACTAGCCTTCTCAACTTACACGGCAAACTTTGATTTAAATCATTTATCAATATATATATATATATATTTAAAAAGTGTATGTATTTGCGATGCAGTTTTCTAACTCTAACGCAATTTTTAGATTCGTTATCGTGACGATAGAAATTAGAAAGAGCACCATAAAGATTTGTTGCCTGGAGATTTTAAGGTGGTAGAAGAGGGGGAGGGGGGGTCGTGTTTGATAAATCTATTCTTGCTTTGGTGATATGATTCCAGAGAATGGCAAAACCACAATAAAAATATTATAGACGGTGTTACGCGAGGTTGTTGTTGTACCTTGCTCATCTCACGAGAACACTACATTTTTCGGAATGAAAAGTAGTCTATGTGCTCTTCCAGACTATAATATATCTCTGTTGTCCAAATTTCGTCCAGATCCGTTTAGCCGTTTTTGCGTGATAGAGTAACAAACATTCACACATCCAAACAAACCTTTGCCTTTATAATATTAGTAAGTTTAGACTTTAATAAAACATAAGGTAAGTTGAAACTTAAGAAACAGGGCGCTTTGTAGGCAATAATGTAATATGAAAATATAACAATTGTGTACAAAGAGGTAATACCAACTAGGCTGTTATAACTGTTCCTATTATAACTGTTATTTTTGTATATTTTGATAGCTGTAACAATTTTTATTTATAATTGGTTAGAATGCACAGAACAAACCGGAGTTAAGCGTTTATTTCGTTGTATGCCACTGGGTGAGTCATCACATCACATCAACAGCCTTTAAAAACCCACTGCTGGACATAGGCCTCTCTTTAGACGGGAAGTTTACTACGCTGGCGAGGAACGACTTATCTCACCTTGTCTAGGATAATCACGAGATTGTGTTGTTTGGAGATGATACAAAACTGTTACTTAGACTCAAACGCACACTTACTGTACTCCACAATAAACCACTTTCAGTTAAACTTAAACGCAAACAGCGCAATTTCGGAAGTGGTTTATTGGTTTGACGTTATCAAATATGCTTTTGATGGAAAAAAAACTAAGTGTATACGGTTCACCAGGCCAAACGTCAAGCCAGTGAAAACCACTGTGATGATTAAGGATGTCGAGCTAAACCTTGTGGATACAACGACATTTTTAGGAATAAAATTAGATTCTAAGCTACAGTGGGGACCACATATAGATAAATTATCGAGTAGACTCAGCTCAGCAGCGTACGCAGTTAGAAATATTCGAGAATTGACTGCTGGTCAATGATGGCTTGATTGACTACATCACGACTTTACTTCAGTTATTTTGAAAGCATAATGTCGTACAGTATTTTACTGTTAGGAAATGCTGCCGACATTCAAACTTATGTGCTGCAAAAAAGAGACCTATTCGAGCAAATTATAACTTAGGCAATCGTTTTTCATTGAGACAAAAATGTAATATATGTATAAATAAAAACAAAGATAGCGTCTTGAAAAGAAGTTTTGTACATGCTTTTAATACCAGAAATATAAATAAACTTGTTCTACGTGCCTCTAGGCTCTAAAAGATAAACAAGTCATTTCGAAGTCAATGTAATGTAACAAATGATATGTAATTTAAATCCACAATAAAACGTAGACTATGTCAAAAAACCTCTTACTCGGTTGTGGATTACATAGAAGACAAGAATGCTTGGGGTTAATTTAGCACAGGCTATTTCGTAGCCGAAATGTGATGTGGGCTAGTGTGTCCTTTTTTTAAATTTTCTATTATATTTTATACTTCACTTTCTTTCTATTTTCTCTATTTTTATGTTATACTTCACTTTCTTTTTTATTCCATCTTTTTTCTATATCTTGTTTTCTCTTCATTGTCTTTTTACCTTTTAGTTATTAAAACCTACATACTGGCATACATCAAAACAAAATTGTGTATATTTAATGATGCCATTGTTATCAGTTGATTGAAAAGAGTGACCGTGAGTTTGTTTGCTCTTTCTTCGCATCATTCTCAAACCCTTGGAAATAGGCAGTTGTAGATCGGCACGGACATATAAGAGATTTTCGATACGTATTTATTTAGTTTTCTAAATATTCGACAAAACAGAGATTGCTGCTATTGTATGTGCTGGTCTATGATTTTGGTCCACACAAGAGACGATTTCAATTTTTTTTTTTTTTCTTATGAAATAAAGATGTTTGAGATTGAGTTTATTAATATCAAAAGACTAGACTTTTACATTTTTTGAATTAATGCGTGTCATTATAAATAAACATCTTCACACTGGATACTACCTACCGGTGGTTATGTCGAACTCGAACCGACCAAAAACCGCACGCCCTCTCGGGTACCAGTAGCCGGGGAACCAGGTATATCCTAGGAAGGAAATTCCTGGTACACAAATATATGCCTGCCTATAAGGTTTGACTGGATGTAAATGCCTGTGGCATTAAGTCCGCCTTATGCAATATGTTTGCAGGAAGTCTCAATAAATAAATAAATTCTGCAATGAGAACATTAATTAATACCCCAGAAAATTGGTGTTAAGGTATTTCTTTATTGCTTTTTGTTGAGTAAGTGAATTTACCGGAACACCAATCTCCCTATCCCATAAATATGGGGGCAGAAGACTATAGAAGCGGCAACAAACTTATAAAAATATCTAAAAATATTCACTTGCAGAAATAAATATCATTTGACTTTTGAGTTTCAGGTATCCATTGATAGCGGTAGTTACTTACCATCAGGTGACCGTAGTGGGTGGTGACATTCTGTATTCTTTATCCGTCACCGTCCAGGATTCATTATACTTCTAGATTATATTATTATTATTATTATTCTTAACTGGCTAACCCGATGAACTTGGTCTCCATTTTTCCCGAAATCTATCCACATCAGAAAGTAATCCATTTTTTCCCGTTTAAAACTAAATTGATGCTCGTTTACTATTGGTCAGAGCGTGATGTTATATAGCCTATAGCCTTCCTCGATTAATGTGCCTAAAGGATTTTTTTTTAATTATAACAAGTAGTTTTTGATATTAGCCCGTTCAACCAAACAAACAAACTCTTCGGCTTTTTAATAAATATTTGTTTTTATTTGTATTTTTTTTTTTTTAAAAGACAACTCTCTCATTAGGAATAAATCCTGTGTCGCGGGGGACTTTACAAACATACATGAAATGAACACAAAGAACACCCAGACTCAGAACAACAATTTGTGGATCACACAAAGTGTGGACGACACTTTGTGTGATCGTGTGTGGTTTGAACGCACAACACTCGGCGTAGTAGGAAGCGGCGTGGCGACCGCTTAAACCACTACGCCATCCGTGCAGTCAAGTCAGTCATGATAGTATAGATAATAATGTGGATTAGTAAAAATATTCATTTTCACAACCTAAACTAAATCGACCATTTCTATGACACCTTCTACCAAAGCATTAAATGGTTTCAAAATAGAACAGAATAAAGGTCCTCAGATCCGATTACCCTTATCTTTCCTTGCAAGCGCTCCATAAAATTCAATAGTGCAATATAAGTTCGGTTAGTTCAGTGTATTTTCTCTAAACATTTCTGGATCTTTTTACCGGAAGTATTTGCCAGAGGAATATGGAAAAAAGTGTAAATTTGCAGATTTACTCATTACTATCTCATATTACTGTATAGTACTTATAAGTAACGACTCATCTACCAAGTCGTCAAAAACGAATTAGCGGTACATTTATATGATAAAAGCTGTTTTTGTGGCACTTTGTTTAATGTTTACTGTCTGCCTGTCTGAATGCAACTAAGTTTAAAAGTATAGGACGTGCTTTCATACGGTTTTCAACAATAATTAAACGATAGTTTATAGACATTTACTGAAATAAACCACGATTGTTAAAGATCTTTAATTACGTGCGGCGCGTAAACCAACATGAAAATTTGAATAAAAACAATAAAACGAAATGCCTCAAATGTTATTGACTGAACTAAAATATACCATAATAGTCTATCAAACATTTATTTGAAGAAACGTTTATTAGAAGAATTTCAATTTCAACCAACAACTTTTGAACAATTTACGATATACGATCACGTTTTTTGCTTAGAACAAGAATGAAGTTAATTAAATTTTATATCCAATATTGGCTTTTTTCATTTACCACGACGCCATAAAGGATAAAAATGAGTTTGGGTACATGATATTACAGTCTGAGAATGTTTCAATGACATATATCGCTTCTTAAGTATTTAGTCTCCATAACCCAAAATTTTATATTAAAACCTTATTATTAAGAGATTAAAAGAAGCAATGATAAGATTTAAACCTTTTTGAAAGTTATTAAAAATGAAACCGGAAAAAACCAATACTGCGATAATAAATTCAATCTAAATGTAAACAATAAATTTATCACATCAAATGCTGAGGTTGCTGCTGCATTTGAGAATTTTTTTACTAACATTCCTCTATCAACTACTAAATCTTTGAACTCCTCACCATGCCTTGCAGAATCAATTTTAAAAGAGAATGTTAGTAGGATTGATAGTGAATTTAAGTTCCAACGTGTGTCCTCCTTTGAAATTATTAAAGCTTTTAACACTATTAACGTTAAAAAAACAATCGACCCATGAGGAAATTCTGCTTTAATTACTAAGATTATTATATCTCTTGTGGCTAATCATTTGTCATTTACATTTAACCAATGTGTTAATACTGGTGTATTTCCTGATCTTATGAAGTCTAGTAAAATTATTCCCTTATTCAAATCTGGTACATCAGATCCAACTAACTTTAGACCCATTTCAGTACTACCCGTATTTAGCTAAAAAATTGACAAAATTATGTATGATCAATTGCATAGTTTTTTAATAATAATAATTTATTTCACAATAGACAATTTGGTTTTACAAGGGGTCGCTCCACAACTGATGCCAGTGTTGAGCTAGTAAAACATATATTTGATGCCTGGGAGGATGCCCACGATTCTCTAGGTATCTTCTGTGA